CCAACTTTTGGTTTCGGATCCCAATACTGAAAATACGAAAATGTACGAAAAAATTTTTCGTCCAAACTAATTTTTTAGGCCTTTCCAAGATTTCCTTATTACTCTCGAGCAAAAACAGACACAAAATTTATGAGCACATATTCGGAGAGAGCACAAAATTCTGGTCTTAACCCATAGTTTTTGACTCATCTGAAATACTTTCAAGCAGGCCAAAAATGAACAAACATTTTGTGCGAAAACTTTCGATCCACCCGTTAGAAAGTAATCTAACATTGAGAATATTATAACTTTATTATATGAACAAGTTAAATCGATTTGTTATGATAACATAAAGAATTTTATAATTGAGTTAAAATAAATATACTTAGGGCAATCCAGAAATAGTGGCCATCCTATCATATTTTCGTATAGACCGCTTGAAAAAATTTTCTTTTTTTTTATGAACAGATAGAGCGTCTTTCGCTCTATTTTTCTATGTTATTTGATCATACTTTAAGTAATATCATGATAATAAATTTTTGATAAGACTTTTTTCGTTAACATGTTTGCTCGTTGTAAGTTGTATGTTGCAGTTTTCAATTCCTTATTACTTGTATTAACAACCAAAATATGCCATAAGATGCAGCGTAAAAAACTCTACAATTTTCATAAGAGCACTTATTTTCTAGTTGCACTTTTTGTTCTTAAAATAGACTAAATTTTTGAGCGATCAAATTTCGGCTATGGAAAAAGATCATGTTTTTGATACACGACGAATTCATTTTTTCTAATCTGATCATTTTATCACTTAATATGCTTTATTAAAAGAAAAACAAAATACACCAGAAGATGCAGCTTGAAAAGCTCTACAATCTACATAGTAAAGTTTATTGTAATTGTTTTGAAAAAAAGGAAAATGCTATACAATCAGTTTTTACAACGTCCAAAGTTCGATCACTCAAAACTTTGTCCATTTTGAAAACAAAAAGTGCAACTAGAAAATAAGTGCTCTTATAGAAATTGTAGAGTTTTTCACGCTGCATCTTATGGCATATTTCGGTTGTTAATACAAGTAATAAAGAATTGAAAACTGCAACATACAACTTACAACGAGCAAACATGTTAACGAAAAAAGTCTTATCAAAAATTTATTATCATGATATTACTTAAAGTATGATCAAATAGCATAGAAAAATAGAGCGAAAGACGCTCTATCTGTTCATAAAAAAAAAGAAAATTTTTTCAAGCGGTTTATACGAAAATATGATAGGATGGTCACTATTTTTGAATTGCCCTAAGTAGTTTTATTTCATATGATAAATAAATATTTTTCTTCAATTAGAATAAAATTTTTTTAAATATTTATATTTATGTATTTTTTTTATCATAAAAAACAATAAATATAAATATGTTGAACCTCTTTTTAGAATTGAATAGTTTTTATCTCTATAAAATATATTTGATTAAGATCGATTAAATAATAAATATATATTGACATCGATCATTTAAGATAAATTTTATATTGAAATAGTCAAAATTACTCTTTAACAAATAATATAGATAATGAGTATTAAAATAATAACTTTTCTTTTTTTTCTTTATCATTTAAAGGTCAAAGAGTAGAAGTAGAGTGGATTTTTAACTTGAATATATCGAGTAAAACATTATAATTGAATATGTTTTCTATATTCGTCATTGAATATTAACCATTGATTAAGTGCACCATCTTATTATATTACTCATTTTAAGATCAGCAGTCTTTTCTATAAACAAAACAATGACTCGATACTATTTACCGTTTATTTAAGATTCGTTTAATTATTACTGGATCAGTTTTATCAGCGAACTAATTAACAAATTTTTATATCTCTTGATTCGAACAATAAACAAAGATCTACACTAAATTACAATAAATATCAACAAACAACGAAAAAGCACAACAATGAATACACAAACCGCAAATAGAATATAACAAAAAAAAAACGAAGGCTTTATGAGAAATTCTATTGTAATTAAGCGGTCACCTCCTGAGACTTATTCTAAATAATGATAAAAATTCAATTGAGATCTACCAATAAGTGTCATGCTATTTCAATTCGAGTTTTTTTTAAATGAAAACAAGACTATTTCGAGAAAACAAACATTTTTTTTTAATAAAAATTGGCTAAAAATCTGTGAAGTCGAGAAATCCGAATCTCGAATTAGTTTTTCAAAATGTTTGAGTTTGATATTTTGATGAGAGTAGATTTAATTATAAAACATTGTTCTATGTTATCAAATATGAATAAATGACAATAAATATTCATTCTTCTACTGACATAAATAATAACTTGATCATTTTTACTTTCGGATTGATTTACTTTGACAAATCTTATATCAAATTAGTTAAGAGTAAACTATTTTCTTAAACTAGCCTTATTCTGATAGAATCAATCGAACTGAAGTAGTATGAATATCATCCGTAGGTATCACCTTAATTCCTATATCATTTCGAATATCTATGAGCATCACTATTAAGTCTCTATAGTAAAAAATGGCCAGATACCGAGGAATTTTAAACGCGTACTTTATCTTTTGGATTAATTTGAAAATATATAGAATAATACTTGAAGGAATATTGTATTATATGATTAAAAATGCCATAAATCATTTGAATCAATAAAAATATATTGACGTTTTTAGTTTGACGATAGACTCTTCGAATAATTTGTAAGGATTGATTTTTATTTTTGCTAATATTTTCTTCGGTATTTAACATATAATTTTCATTTATTCAGTTTTTTGTTATATTGACATTAACTATTTAAGAAGATAAATGATAATGACATGATCATTTGAAATAATACAAGAATGGGTCCACGACAATTGATCGAACGACAATTAGTCGAACGACAATTGGGCGACGTCAATTGGTCGCAGCGACAATTGGGCGCTACGACAATTAGTCGCAGGGTAGAATTGGTCGCAATGCTGAAAAATAAAATTACCGAAAATTTTTACTAGGATCGTAAAGAAATAACACACAAAGATCTAGAAACTGACTAAAAATCTATTCAAGCGCATGGATATCAGATATGAGAGGAAATACGAATGTTTCCTGAATTCTTGGATTTGTGTATAAAATATTACACCGGATCAAGTAGTAGCTATTTCAAAAATTTTGCACCATCCATATAACTTTCCCCCATTTCGAGGTCTTTATCTGTTGCGACTTTTGCTGTTCCACAAGGAATATAGTTCTCATCTTCTTGTAACATTTCCATAAATTCAAATGTTAATATTAAATTTTTGCTAACTTATAAGGTTATCTACTTTTCTATTCTGCAGGCAACATCCACATTTCTCACATGCTATCTCCGTCCTTACGCTGTGCTGTGTGATTGAGTCTAATGTGTGTAGACTGAAGTTTGTGGAGAAGTGAAAAAGAGCTAGACTTCTGTTAAACATTCGACCAATTCTACATTGCGACTAATTGTCGTAGCGCCCAATTGTCGCTACGACCAATTGACGTTGCCCAATTGTCGTTCGACCAATTGTCGCTCGCCCTACAAGAATATATGATAATTCTGTTCGATAAGTCTTGAATAGATAATTAAAATATAGATGAATTTACTTTTACAACAAATCAACAATATGAAAAGAAACATTTTCTTATTTATTATATCGATTGTTTTTTTTCGTTCGAGAAATAAATTTTCTAAAAATTGTTTGTACTTTAGATAAATTTTAATCTGTTCGTTCTATCTGTATCTGTCATATTATAATTAATATTTATCAAAAAAAAAAAAAAAAAAGATTCGTTCAAAATTCTAATCAAGTTTAGATCTGAAAAGACAAACAATCAAACAAATTTGATCATTTATTAATAAAATTATGCTTAAGATCATCTATCAATACCGATCATAATCATTATTTTCATTTAAAATATTGTTTTTTTTTGTTGAATTTCGATGATAATCATTCAATGTTAATATTCAATTATTTTAAAGAGAAAAAAAAATCATCAATATAAATCTAAATATTGTTAATATTATATTTGAATGATCTATTTTAGTTATAATAATAAAACGTCTACTGAGATATTCATATCTCGGT